ACTGGGGCCAAGGGTGGCTTGGAGAACTTCAAGTCCTGCTTCATCTGCAGCAGCTCACCCACCCACAATTCGATCTTCAGTGCTTTTGTGTTTTAATATGGCCAACTGATGCTTTTTCAATCTTACAGGAAACGTGAGTCAAAACATGTTTTAAAAATTCTTTGTTTTTATTAATTCGTATTATACAACATAGGCAAATCCTGTTTCATCAAACGTCCTCTTGCCTGATACTTAGCTCATTTCCACTCTGTCCCCACCCCAGTTTCAACAGCCACATGTGAGCTCTCATAAGTCATCAGTAAGACCAGCTGTAGCTTGCTTCTCCTAATTAAGAGGGAAGCTGTGCCTTGCTGGGAAGAGAATGCAGAATGTGGGACAAATCTCTATGGCTCCCTAGCTCAGGATGGGAACAAAATTTCTGAAACTAAAGTGTGTCACGTGTGCACACCCTAAATAGAATCTGTGAATTTAGAATAATCCACTGATAATACCACAGTAATTAAAAAGAAACTGCAGCAATTAGGCTGGCTGTTGCCACCAATTTTGTGTCTGATTGTTTTTTAAAGGTGCATTTGTCCTTCCTTAGTTACTCTTGAAACATTTTAGAACTCACAGAATAAACTATTTAAACACACAGACACACAGACAGACACACACACGTGCAGCAAAGGTATGAATAAGCTATGATAAGAAAAAGATTTAACTATATCAAGGACATCTCAGTTTGAGGTCTTTTCTTTTGTCTTTTTGCCCAGAAATCTGTCTCCATAGAAGCTGAAACAAAATATGGAGACAAAATGGGAATTAAAATTTAAGAGGGGGAGAAGGTCAGAGCAATTCACAGTAATCTCACTGGAGACCAGATTCTCTCTTCATCAAAAAGTTTTTTAAAAAGAAAAGAATGGATGGATAATCTTTGCATATTGAAGAACACTGGGAACTGATTTAAATCCAAGTTGCAAGAACTGCAGTTCTATGGCTCAGCTCTAGCTTATCACCAAAGGAAAAGTTAAGAGATGGCTATTAAAAAGTTAAGGTGACTTTTGGCAAGCAAAGGCCTTAGAGACTTCTGAGAATTTGAATCAATCTGGTTGAATCTGATGCCACAATAATTGAAAATCTTATAGTCTATCTTCCTGCTGTCTGGAGCAAGCACTCTGGCTTTCTAAACATTCTAAAATAGAATGTTTTCCTGATTACTTGGTTTTAAATATACTTCCTATAAGAAGTCAGACCTGAGCAGTCAGACAGGTTCCTGTGTGGATTGCAAAGGCCACTTCCCAAGCTGACCTCTTCCAGACTGCCCCACCACAGCCTGAGCATTTTCTGTTTTCTTTACAATATTTAGCTTCCTAATGAACCATGTCAATGGATTTTTTTTCCCAAAGGTTGTATTTTTTAATTTTTATAACAAACTATAGTGTTTAATAGGGCATGTCAATGGATTTTAAAGGACAATTTTAAATGAAGACAAAAGGAGCGAGGCCCATGGCTTACCTTTGCTCTCTGATACATTGTCCGTCCTATAATTTGTGTGCTGTCGAACATATCCTGTCCAGGTCCCTTAGCAATGCACATGCTAGGCTGGGACAAAATAAGATAGGATGCATTCTTGGTTAAGTTAGCAATTATTTTAAGGAATGAGGAATTATAACTGAATCTAAGCAAACAGATTTTTTAAACCACATTCTAGCATTTCTTTTCAGGTGGTCTCTCAAAGTACAGGCTATAAAAACAAAATTATACATGGAACTAAAACAGTGAATATCTTTAGAAATTATTTATTCTGGAGCCTTTCTTTTAAAAATAAGGAAATTGAGGCTCATACAGGTAAAAGGATGTGTTGGTGATTATCCAAGTATCTAATATCTGAGCTAAGACTTGAAGCCTGATCTTTCCATTGACTGCACGTCTTTCTACTTGCTTGTTCTTGCCTCAGATTCTTACTCATGATTATCTTAAATTGAAACTCAGTTAAATTATACTGGAACAACTAACTGGACTTCTGGGGGAAAAAAACATCAATAAATAAATCTGGCCCTATTTCCTACTTTTTATGTCAGAAAAATTTAAGATTCATCAAGCACTTAAATATTATAAGTAGAATCAAAAAAGTACTAAGAGAAATATGGATGGATGTATTTTGTAGTCAGAGGGTGTGAGCAGACTCTCCTAAAAGTTATCTAGAACAAGCTTAGTTAAACTGGACAGCTTAAATATCTTAAATGTGCATAAGGGCAAAAGATAAACTAGGAGAAAAGTTAGTATCATTTTGAGAAAACTAAGACTTTAATATATTGGGAGCTCTAAAAAGTCAATAAAAAATATCTTTATTAATNACACAAAAAATCTACAATAAAATACTAGCAAACTGAATACAGTAACATAGAAAAAGAATTGTTATAGAATATGACCAACTGGGATTTTTTCCAGGAATGCAAAGTTGGGTAAACATTCAAAAACTGATCAGTGAAGTGTAACATATTAATATAATTTTTAGAATTACATTATTATCTGAGTAGATACAGAGAGAAACATTTGACAAAAATCTAACACCATTTTATGATAATAATACTCAACAAACTAGGAATATAAGTAAATTTCCTCAACCTGATAAAGGATTAAAAACCCAGAGCTAGCATTATACTTAACGATGAATGACTGAATGCTTTTTCCATAGTATCAGGAACAACACAGAATGTATAGCCTTTCCACTTCTATTCAGCATTGTTCTGAAGGTTCTAGCCAGGGCAATTAGGCAAGAAAAAGAAATAAAAGGCATTCACGTTGGAAAAGAGAAATTAAAATTATTGATATTTCTATTTTAAGATGACATGATCTTAAAATTTATAAGCTGATTCTAAAATATTAGAACTAATAAATGAGTTCAGCAAGGTTGTAGGATATAAGGTCAATATACAAAATAGTTGTATTTGTATACATTTTCTATGAACAATTCAAACATGAAATTGAGGAAAACATTCCATTTAGAATAGCATAGAAAAGAGTAAAATACTAAGAAATAAACTTAACAAAAAGTACAAAATTTATACTCTTAAAATTATCAAACTGTTGAAAAAAATTAAAGATCTAAACAATGCCAAAACATCCATGTACATGGATCAGATTACATAATATTGCTAAGATGGCAATACTCCCCCAAATTAATCTGTAAATTCAATGGCATTTCCACCAGAATCCCAACTGACTTCTTTGTAAAAATTTACAAGCTGATTCTAAAGTTCCTGTGAAACTGCAAAAAAACTCAGAAGTCGAAACAATCTTCAAAGAGGAGGTCAAGGTAGAATGACCCATTCTTTCTGATCTCAAAGGAAACAGTAACCAAGAGAGGGTTGTACTGGCACTAGGTACAACCTAGTGTATATGCCTAGGTTGACTAGGCATATAAATCAATGGAATTGAATTGCTAATCCAGAAACAAAGCCACATGTCAACTAATTTTTAACACATGTGCCAAGATTATAGAATGGGTAAATAGTAATCTTTCCCATAAGTGGTGCAGAGATAGCTGAATAGTCACACGCAAAAGAACGAAGTCAGGCCATGACCTCCATGATACAAAAAATTTAAATTAAAAGGGATCCAAGACTTAAATGTAAAGCTAAAACCATAAAAGTCTTAGAAGAAAATAAGGGTAAATCTTCACGACATTGGATTTGGAGAAAGATTCCTACATATGGCATTAAGCCATGAGTAACAAAACTTAGACTTATTAAAAATTAAGAACTTTTGTGTTTCAAAGGACACAAATCAATAAAGTGAAAAAACAACCTACAGAATGGAAGAAAATACTTTCATATCATACATTTGATAAGGGACTGTATACAGAAAACACAAAATCCACTTATAACTCAATAATAAAAAGAAAAATAACTCAAATTTTAAAATGAGAAAACTATGTAAATGATGTTTCTCCCAGGAAGACATACATGTGGTTAATAAGTGCATGAAAAGATGTTTGACATAATTAATCATTAGGGAAATGCAAATCAAAACCACAATCAGATAGATATCCCTCCATACCTCCTAGGGTGGCTAGATTCAGTAAGTCAGATAATAATAAGTATTGGCAAAGACATAAAAAATCAGAACCCTATACACTGCCTGTAGAAATGAAAAATGGTACAGCCATTTCAGAAATAGTCTGGCAGTTTCTCAGATGATTAAATGTACAGTTATCATATAATCCAGCAATTTCATTCCTAGAAATATACACAAGAGGAAAGATGAAAACACACACTCACATAAAAATCACATAAACATTTATGGAATATTTCTAGATTAATAATAACTAAAACATGGGACAATCCAAATGTCCATCAAGTGAGGAATGTATAAACAAATCTGATATGTTGACATAAAGGAATATTATTCAATTATAAAGAAGAATGAGGCTGGGCATAGTGGCCCACACCTTTAATCCCAGGACTCTAGAAGGCCGAGGCGAGTGGATTACTTGAGGTCAGGAGTTGCAGATCAGCCTAGCCAACATGGTGAAACCCTGTCTCTACTAAAAATACAAAAATTAGCCAGGCATAGTGGCGGGTGCCTGTAGTCCCAGTTACTTGGGAAGCTGAAGCAGGAGAATCGCTTGAACCTGGGAGACAGAGGTTGCAGTGAGCTGAGATTGCACCACTGCACTGCAGCCTAGGTGACAAAAGCAAAATCCCATCTCAAACAAAAGGAATGATACATGTTAAAATATCAATGAGCCTTTAAAGCATGATGCTAAGTAAAAGAAGCCAACAAAAAATGCCACATATTATATGATTCCTTTTGTATGAAATGTTCAGAATAGGAAAATACAGATACAGAAATATTAGTGGTTGCTTAGATCTGTGGGGTGCATGGTCATGTACAAGCCTGGAAAACCAGCAGACCCTGAGTTTAAAAATAAAAATAATAAAGGTATTGGCTACAATGAAATCTGATCAGAGAACAGAACCCAGAAGTGTCAGAAGCTGAAACCATACCCTTACCCTGTGTAAAATTGAGGCTTCCAACTCCATCAATGGTGCCAGCCGCAAAACTGTAGCCCAATGCTGGTTTACATGTTTTTGCCTAAAGGAAAGTTTTTAAAAACAAAACAAAAAGGAAACAGATAAAGAAACAAAACTTAAGCTGAAAGTAAATAATGAGATAAACCTGAAACTTCACCCTTGGGGCATAACCAGTGTGTCTCAGCAGCACTTACTGCATGTGTGGAATTGAGCCAGACGATCACATCTGTCATATTCACCCACTGGTGTGCTGAAGCCAGTGGTCCCGTTACCTCCTGGGAAGCAGAGGCATATAGTTCCTAGAAAACACACAGGCTTACTATTCCAAGAAAAAAGGCTAAAGTGAGCATCTCCAATTGTACTCAGGAAGTACCAATTTCATGCAATTTGGAAATGCATCTCTCAGAAAAGCTTTTGTTTTGCTGGTTGCTTAGAATTGGCCACCAACCACATGGGTTTCGGTACCAAACCCAGAAGTTTCCCAAAAGTTTGGTCTCCGAGGCTGTTGACCTGTGTCTACTCCCCGCAAAAATGAAATAATAGTGCTACAGGCTGTGGCACAAAAAGCCCCAATCTCACCGGAAAAACCACCAAGAAAATTTAAGATTAGGAATAAGTGAACCAAATTATTTTCTTTGCTAGAGTGAGAGTGTATCCTTGGGTGTTCTCAGAATACTTGAGTCCTGCAGCAGGACTGGGGCCAAGGGTGGCTTGGAGAACTTCAAGTCCTGCTTCATCTGCAGCAGCTCACCCACCCACAATTCGATCTTCAGTGCTTTTGTGTTTTAATATGGCCAACTGATGCTTTTTCAATCTTACAGGAAACGTGAGTCAAAACATGTTTTAAAAATTCTTTGTTTTTATTAATTCGTATTATACAACATAGGCAAATCCTGTTTCATCAAACGTCCTCTTGCCTGATACTTAGCTCATTTCCACTCTGTCCCCACCCCAGTTTCAACAGCCACATGTGAGCTCTCATAAGTCATCAGTAAGACCAGCTGTAGCTTGCTTCTCCTAATTAAGAGGGAAGCTGTGCCTTGCTGGGAAGAGAATGCAGAATGTGGGACAAATCTCTATGGCTCCCTAGCTCAGGATGGGAACAAAATTTCTGAAACTAAAGTGTGTCACGTGTGCACACCCTAAATAGAATCTGTGAATTTAGAATAATCCACTGATAATACCACAGTAATTAAAAAGAAACTGCAGCAATTAGGCTGGCTGTTGCCACCAATTTTGTGTCTGATTGTTTTTTAAAGGTGCATTTGTCCTTCCTTAGTTACTCTTGAAACATTTTAGAACTCACAGAATAAACTATTTAAACACACAGACACACAGACAGACACACACACGTGCAGCAAAGGTATGAATAAGCTATGATAAGAAAAAGATTTAACTATATCAAGGACATCTCAGTTTGAGGTCTTTTCTTTTGTCTTTTTGCCCAGAAATCTGTCTCCATAGAAGCTGAAACAAAATATGGAGACAAAATGGGAATTAAAATTTAAGAGGGGGAGAAGGTCAGAGCAATTCACAGTAATCTCACTGGAGACCAGATTCTCTCTTCATCAAAAAGTTTTTTAAAAAGAAAAGAATGGATGGATAATCTTTGCATATTGAAGAACACTGGGAACTGATTTAAATCCAAGTTGCAAGAACTGCAGTTCTATGGCTCAGCTCTAGCTTATCACCAAAGGAAAAGTTAAGAGATGGCTATTAAAAAGTTAAGGTGACTTTTGGCAAGCAAAGGCCTTAGAGACTTCTGAGAATTTGAATCAATCTGGTTGAATCTGATGCCACAATAATTGAAAATCTTATAGTCTATCTTCCTGCTGTCTGGAGCAAGCACTCTGGCTTTCTAAACATTCTAAAATAGAATGTTTTCCTGATTACTTGGTTTTAAATATACTTCCTATAAGAAGTCAGACCTGAGCAGTCAGACAGGTTCCTGTGTGGATTGCAAAGGCCACTTCCCAAGCTGACCTCTTCCAGACTGCCCCACCACAGCCTGAGCATTTTCTGTTTTCTTTACAATATTTAGCTTCCTAATGAACCATGTCAATGGATTTTTTTTCCCAAAGGTTGTATTTTTTAATTTTTATAACAAACTATAGTGTTTAATAGGGCATGTCAATGGATTTTAAAGGACAATTTTAAATGAAGACAAAAGGAGCGAGGCCCATGGCTTACCTTTGCTCTCTGATACATTGTCCGTCCTATAATTTGTGTGCTGTCGAACATATCCTGTCCAGGTCCCTTAGCAATGCACATGCTAGGCTGGGACAAAATAAGATAGGATGCATTCTTGGTTAAGTTAGCAATTATTTTAAGGAATGAGGAATTATAACTGAATCTAAGCAAACAGATTTTTTAAACCACATTCTAGCATTTCTTTTCAGGTGGTCTCTCAAAGTACAGGCTATAAAAACAAAATTATACATGGAACTAAAACAGTGAATATCTTTAGAAATTATTTATTCTGGAGCCTTTCTTTTAAAAATAAGGAAATTGAGGCTCATACAGGTAAAAGGATGTGTTGGTGATTATCCAAGTATCTAATATCTGAGCTAAGACTTGAAGCCTGATCTTTCCATTGACTGCACGTCTTTCTACTTGCTTGTTCTTGCCTCAGATTCTTACTCATGATTATCTTAAATTGAAACTCAGTTAAATTATACTGGAACAACTAACTGGACTTCTGGGGGAAAAAAACATCAATAAATAAATCTGGCCCTATTTCCTACTTTTTATGTCAGAAAAATTTAAGATTCATCAAGCACTTAAATATTATAAGTAGAATCAAAAAAGTACTAAGAGAAATATGGATGGATGTATTTTGTAGTCAGAGGGTGTGAGCAGACTCTCCTAAAAGTTATCTAGAACAAGCTTAGTTAAACTGGACAGCTTAAATATCTTAAATGTGCATAAAGGCAACTGATAAACTAGGAGAAAAGTTAGTATCATTTTGAGAAAACTAAGACTTTAATATATTGGGAGCTCTAAAAAGTCAATAAAAAATATCTTTATTAATACTGATATTAACCCCATTGGATAGAGCCGACTGGGATAGAATAAATATCCCAGAAATTGTGTACAAAAAAAGCATTGTAACAAGCAAAATGTTCTAAAAACACAAAGAATAAGAACCCCAAACTAGCCTCTACTGCTCACATCAAAGTTGAATACAAAGCTAAATAAACATTGCAGGAGTTAAATAAATGGTGATATAGCTTTATTTGCTGTCTTTAAAACATATCACACAAATCTGGATACAGTCATTGAAAGGTTTCTAAGAAAAATTAAATGGAAAACTGAAGTCCTGGATACAAAACTCAAAATCCATAAATAATTAATAAAATGTTATTTATAAATGCATAAATAAATACATAGGAAGAGGTATGAGAATAGTAACTTCCAGGAAGAGCAAAGTGTAGAGGAAAAGGAGGTGAACAGTGACTTTCACTTGTTACTATTCTCTGTGCTTCCACATTATTCGAATTTTTACAGCAATTTTGTGCTTGTAATTTTTAAAAAAGGAAAAGGAATTTTGGTCTTATATTAAAAACTCTATAGACTTTACAATCCATGAGAAATGTCTCAGGCAGGTAGTTTTTAGTACAAACTTGTGACTTTTGAAACACCAAAGCAAAATGTTTTACATTGTCTAAGTTTGGGAAAGGGTAGTTAATATCTGACAGTTACTGAATTGTCTCATCATTTACGAAACTTTAACAGTCACTCAAATGGAAAAATATAACTTCACTCAGTTAAGATCTGGTGGGTTTGGACAGGTGCTTTCGAGAAGAGCAGGTGCTAGAGGGAACTAGGCCAGTGTATACTAGAAGGCAACATATTTGTAAATTAATTATAAATATTCAAATATAAAATGTATATGAGATGCAAAAACAAACATTTCATGTGCCATACTTACTTACCCCACCAATGGGACAAGTATTATTGGGGTTATCACAGGACTCTCCCGTGTTGACACAATGTGGGCCGAGAATGTTGGGGGACACATCTCCTAGGTTTGATGAAGCAAAGGCTGCTACAAATGGTCCCTGCCAAAAGAAATACCAAGTTGCCTTTAATTCTTCACTATTTCCTATAATGACTGCCATTAGAAATGCAAACATTAAATTCACTCTGGTAAACTCTTCAAAATCATTTGCAGACAGTAAAAAGAGGATACAAAATATTCTGTAGTTAGCCTGTTCACTCTGATGATAGTGTCTTTTGCTGTGCAGAAGCTCTTGAGTTTAATTAGATCCCATTTGTCAATTTTCGCTTTAGTTGCCATTGCTTTTAGTGTTTTAGCCATGAAGCCTTTGCCCATGCCTATGTCCTGAATGGTATTGCCGAGGTTTTCTTCTAGGATTTTTATGGTTTTAGGACTTACATTTAACTCTTGAATCCACTTTGAGTTAATTTTTGTATAAGGTGGAAGGAAGGAGTCCAGTTTTGGTTTTCTGTATATGGCTAGTCAGTTTTCCCAAAACCATTTACTACATAGGAAATCCTTTCCCCATTGCTTGTTTTTGTCAGGTTTTTCAAAGATCAGATGGTTATAGATGTGCGGCATTACTTCTGGGTCCTCTGTTCTGTTCCATTGGTCTACATATCTGTTTTGGTAGCAGTACCATGCTGTTTTGGTTACTGTACTCTTGTAGTATAGCTTGAAGTTAGTTCAACCATTGTAGAAAACAGTGTGGTGATTCCTCAAGGAAGTAGAACTAGAAATACCATTTGACCCAGCAATCCCATTACTGAGTATATACCCAAAGGATTAGAAATCAATCTACTATGAAGACACATGCACACATATGTTTATTGCAGCACTATTCACAATAGCAAAGACTTGGAACCAACCAAAATGCCCATCAGTGATAGACTGGATAAAGAAAATGTGGCACATATACACCATGGAATACTATGCAGCCATAAAGAAGGATGAGTTCATGTTTTTTGAAGGGACATGGAAGAAGCTGGAAACCATCATTCTCAGTGAAGTAACACAGGAACAGAAAACCAAACACTGCATGTTCTCACTCATAAGTGGGAGTTGAACAATGAGAACACATGGACACAGGGAGGGGAACATCACACATTGGGCCTGTCAAGGGGTAGAGCACTAGGGGAGGGATAGCATTAGGCAAAATACCTAATGTAGATGACAGGTTGATGGGTACAGCAAACCACCATGGCACATGCATATCTATGTAACAAACCTGCACATTCTGTACATGTATCCCAGAACTTAAAGCATAATATATATACATATATATCTCCAGAAAAAAATATATATTCTGAGAAAACTTTTTATTCCTATAAATTCTCACAATGCAGTCAGTATACATACTATTACTGAAAATACTCCAATTATCAACAAAGCTGTTTCAAGTAGGACAGTTTCAAATTATGCCTCAAACAGAAATATTTTGACCAGAAACACTGTAACAACAAATTATAAAATGCTGACCAGTCAATCTAGTCTATTGTGTTTTATCTGGAGCTCAGAGATCCATTTGCCCTTTAAAAATAAATATCATATTGGCTTAAACAGAAAAAGGAAATGCAGACTTTCTTGTTGCACAATAAGCCTAAATACACCATCCACCATCTCGACTTGCCCTCAGTGTATCTTTTTTCTCGCTCTTCAGCCCAATTAGAGTCATGCAAGGCCTCTGGGTCAACTCAACTGCTCTAGCATTGTGCCTTACTCCCACTTTAATTTTCTTAAGGAAAGGCATAACTAAGTATTGGAGATATAAGTCTTTTTTGATACTAAAAGGTTAATTTATTTAATAGGAAACTCTCTTCTTTTCCCTAAAATCAGACTAAAGTGACAAAATAGAAAGTAAGTTTTGCCAACAAAGGAGCTTGCTTTGGTTTGGATGTGATTTATTCCTGCCAAAATTCATGCTGAAATTTGATCTCCAATGTGGCAATGTTGGGAATTGTAGCCTTGTGGGAAGAGACTGATCCCGCATGAATAGAATAATGCCTTCCCACAAGGTGAGTGAGTTCTTACTCTCCAGGGTATGGATTGCAGTAGTTCCTCCAAGAGCAGGTTGTTAAAAAAGAGCCTGGCTCCCTCAGTTTTTCTCTCTTGTTTCCTCTTTCACGTGTGATCTCTTAGCACATCCTAGCTCCTCTTCTGATTTCTATCGTGAATATTCATGTACAATATTCTGAGAAAATTTTTATTTTATTGGAAATAACCTGAGGCCCTCACCAGATGCAGTTGTTCAATCTCAAACTTTTCAACCAACAGAATCATGAGCCAAAATAAATCTTTTTGCTTTACAAATTATCCAGTCTCAGTTATTCTGCTAACACAAAACAAACTAAGACAGAGCTAAATGATCAGGCTGAATGTTAATGGAAGTTCATACCTTTATAAGGAAATATTAATTCTAGGCAAGGGCCTGAGACTGTTATCCTATTATATAGTTTTCCGAATTTGGGTCTGGTGCAGTGGCTCATGCCTGTAATAGGAGCACTTTGGGAGGCCAAGGTGGGCGGATCACTTGAGGTCAGGAGTTTAAGACCAGCCTGGTCAACATGGCGAAACCCCATCTCTACTAAAAATACAAAAATTAGCTGGGTGTGGGGGCGTGCACTTGCAATTTCAACTACTCAGGAGACTGAGGCACAAGAATCACTTGAACCCAGGAGGCGGAGGTTGCAGTGAACTGAGATCATGCCACTGCGCTCTAGCCTGGGTGACAGCGTGAGACTCTGTCTCAAAAAAATAAAAATAAAATTGTGCTTAATACTTGTGTAGCTCTAAAAACAAAAGTAAATATCAACAGTTCGTCATATTTTCAGCTTAATCAAAAACTACTATTATCACAAAAATCTTGAACTTGCCCTTCCTTATTCAACTAATAACTTTATGAAGCAATGAATATAAGGACTACCTAACACAAAAAGCAAATGGATTAGTACTCATTTTTAATTTTTCTTTCCCTATTAGAGATGATGGTAAATGCTCTCTATCCAAGCATATCAATATGTGAGATTGATGATGACACTTTATTCTGGAGATTTGAATCACCTTTTCTGAATGCAGCATGAATGATGACACTCAGTGACTCAAGATGAAGCTTCAATTATATAAATTCTCACCTGTCCAGGTAGATATCCTTTGTTCTTCTCTTGCTCAAGAAGGTAAGATGCATAGCCCACATTGTCGCTGTTTACAAGATGGTTACTGTTGTTCATGCTGACTGGGTGGATAGCAAACCAGCTGTAAAGGAGCAAGAAGCTCTAAGTTAATCAGAAGAACCAGAGAACTGGGGCCAAGAACTGACTGGGAGCTTAAGTTTTCTCTAGCAGGAAAAAATATTTTTAAATGATAGACATTCTACATCTAGATTCTTTCATTGTTCATGTGCTTAAAAGTGCAATGCAAACATGTACTCAAAGTCTGATCATTTTCATAAATTAAAAATACAGAACTCCATTTTCATGACTATTTCATCATTGGCATCCTCTTTAGATGCGTCAGTTATGAGATGACATACTTAAAGAACTGTATATACATGGACTTTGTCCTTCAAGATAGGCACACAGATAGTAATTATTCAAATCTATCCAATCTGACATTTGCTGAGGGTTATCTGCATGCCAAGCACTGAATAAACTGTGGCTTACTTTCAGAATCTCATCAAAGACACAGATGCAAACAAATGGCTTTAACACAGTGTGACAAACATTACAAAGAAACAGGCATAAAGTGTTTAGGGAACACAGATGACTAACAATTAATTCTTGAGGGCATTACAGGGAGAGGAAACAGCAGAGTAAATGCACAGAAACATGAAAGAGGATGTTATGCATAATTCAGTATATCCTTATGCCTAGTAATATCTTGTTTAAGTGTAAAGCTATACAGTTTACAAACTAATTTCACATCTGTTACCTTATTTGAACTTCACAACAACTCTGAGAGACAGGCTGTTTTACCTCTATTCTGCATAGGTGATCTAGAGAAGCCAAATAAAGGTCTACTGGCTCATAGAGACCCAGGACTTAAGTATGGGTCTTGTGACACCATGTCCAGAGGGCTTTGTAGGATCAAACCACCACACAGGTGAAAAGGATATTTACAGTGTGGAAGGCAGGAAAGCGGATTGACTGGAATGCTCAAGAAAAGAGAGATGCCAATTCATAAAGTGCCAGGTTAGCTTAGAATTAAAAAAAAAATTTGTTGTTATTGATTCAATTCTTTGTTGAAAAATCTTTAAACATTTTAGCTTACATTCCTACCTAAGCAATGTAATTGCACAAAACTAAGCATCTTCTTAATGGCTAGGAAGGATTTAGGACTTCAAGATCGTCTTTCGGGCATCATCTTTTTTATTGCCTACCAGAAGCAGACATAGGGCAGAAATGGCCTGCTCAAAGCCCACTGACGTTAGGCGGGCAACACAAATGGGTCATGCTGGTTGATACAATACGGACTAGTATGGACTGTAGAAAATTTGCAGTGTCTAAAGTTCACAGCCTCTACCCAGCTCCGGCCAAGAGTTGCCTTATAGAAGTATAAACCAGTGCTGCCAGCTCTTCTCATTTTTTCAAAAGGAGCCACAGATCCATGTTTTCATATGTATTTATCAACTTTAAAATTCTTCAGAAAGTAAACGGCATGGAAACAAAGGACAGGAACTGCTATACATTAAGAGACTTAAGAAAGTAGCCAACAAATGTAGTTTGTGATCTGATTCAAACAAAACAGCTATTTTAAACAAACACAAAAAGACTTTTTGATATAATCAGGGAAAACTGAACACAGATTGGGCATTAGATCACATTAGGATATTAACTTTAATTTTGTTGGTTGTAATAAATGATTGAGGTTACATTTTTTAAAGCCTTTATCTGGTGGAGATATATACGGAAATATTTATGAGTGAAATGTATCTAAAGACATATGTACACTTATGTTCACTGCAGCACTACCCACAATAGCAAAGACATGGAATCAACCTAAATGCCCATCAATGATAGACTGGATAAAGGAAATGTGGTACATATATACCATGAAATACTGTGCAGCCATAAAAGGAACAAGATCATGTCCTTTGCAGGAACATAAATGGAGCTGGAGGCCATCACTTTTAGCAAACAAACACAGGAAAAGAAAACCAGATACCATATCTTCTCACAGGTAGGAACTGAACGATGAGAACACATGGACACACAGAGAGGAACAATACACACTGGGGCCTGTTGGAGAGTGAAGTATGGAAGGAGGGAGAAAATTAGGAAAAATAACTAATGGGTACTAGGCCTAATACCAGGGTGATGAAATAATCTGTACAATGAAGCCCCATGACACACATTTACCCATGTAACCAACCTGCAAATGTATCCCTGAACTTACAATAAAAGTTAAATATTAAAAAAAGAATGTATAATGTCTGATATTTGCTTTCAAACACTCTTGCCAAACGGAAAAAAAAAGTGAGGGGACGGATAAAACAGAATGACAGAGTCCTGCTAATTAGTGAAGCTGGAATACGTTACACGGATATCCATTACATTAATCACTGTAATCAGTATGCATTTGAAAATTTGTATATAGCTTCTTTTTCATGTTGACATCCATTTAGAATTTTTCAAAACACAATGTCAAGCCAAATCACTAATGAGTGAGCTGAATTCACTCCCTGAGATGGTTATTTGCCGCTGTGCTAAGGAATAAACATTTATTTAGGCTGAAGATATTATAGAGTCATCCCCTCAAAGTTACTTGCAAGATGTTTACATTTACAAATTTTCTTCTATTAGCTTCATGTGTGTGGTTTGTCTCTTTCTCTTAGAACACAAGTATCAGGAAATTCTAATCAACTAGTGTTTTCCAGTTACATGGATTTTGCTTTTTTGGAGTTTTACTCTTTAGTATGGAAGAAAACATGGTGGTGGCATTTTGGCTTCCTAACCAAAATATTTTCATCTGATACAATCATGCTGAGGTCAGCCAGCTTCAGCCAACACTGAATATTTCCATTACAGTCAAATAAAATCCATACAACAAATATCTATTGACATTGACTATTATCTAGCTCTTGTTAGACAAAGGACTTCAACTACAAGATCTCATTTTATTCTCACGGCAATTCTTTGAGTCAAGTACTATCATTATCTTCATTCTACAACTAAGAAAACTAAGTCCCAGAGTGGTAACATTATCTGACCTAGGTCACACAGTGTTAAGTCAAGAAGCAAAGAAGCAGGGCTATGAATTCAGGTGTGTGTGTGTGTGCGTGCATGTATGCTCTTATCCACAGTGGGATCCTGGTTCTGTCCCTTCTCTTTATTCACTTGCTCATTCACTACACGTTTGGTTAACTTTGATTCTGTGCCAGCACCAAGAACATAAAGATGAATAAGGCATCATCTTGGCCTTGAGAAATGCTTCACAAAAGATGTGACATTTGAGTTGGATCTTAAAAGATGAGGAGGAGTGACGCAAAGGAATCACTAGAGAAGAAGCATTCCTAGCAGAGGAAGTAACATCTGCAAAGGCATTAAGATGTGAAGGAGGGCCCTGTGTTTAGAGAATGGATAGTCAGGGTGGCCAGAGTAGAATGGATATGGACAAGGAAAGATGGCAGTTGTATCATCCATTCAATCAACATGAATTTATTGGGAACTATGTTGACTGGCACTGTGTGAGGCCCCAAGGAATGTAAAGAGGAATAAAATGCATTTCCTACCATCAAGGACCTTACACATTTAGGCCACAATGGTATCTGTAGAGAAAGCATGTGCTAAGAATTTCAATCTACTAATTAGATATAGACATGATTTCTTCTTCTTCTTTTGAAGAAGTGTCTCCCTCTGTTGCCCCAGCTGTGGTGCAGTGGTGCAATCATGGCTCACTTCAGCCTTGACCTCCCAGACTCAAGTAGTCCTCCCACCTCAGCCTCCCAAGTAGCTGGCACTACGGATGTGCACCACTATGCCTAGTTAATTCTTTATATTTTTTGTAGAGATAGGGGTCTCACTGTGTTGCCCAGGCTGATCTCCAACTCCAGACCTCAAGCGATCCTCCTGCCTCACCCTCCTAAAGTGCTGGTTTTACAGGTTGAACCACCACACCTGGCTTGATTTCTTCTTCATTCCATTTATTTTAAGCCTTAGAAAATAAATCGAAATTTTTCTCTAGAAAATTGAAATAAGTGTTCAGAAAATCGTTATTTGAATTGAAGATGTCATATTTTTCCTCCTTTGTCCTTTGAAATGTGGATTATTAAATCAGCAAACTTGTCACAGCAACCAAAGTACTATGGTTATGGATGAATATTTTTAAAGATATGGAGAATGGTGATCATTTTAATTTTAAAACACTGTACTTATAATTTATTTTATCTGGCCAAAAAATATTCTTCAAAGCAAAGTTCAAAAGAAAGGAAGAAAGCTTTAGTTAGTTTCAGAAGTTAGAACACAGACATAAAAGGATGAATACATCCCTGATAATAAGCATTTTTAATAATGCTTATGTCACAGCTAGATGTAAAATAGGAAGCAAGGTGCTACTTGAATCAGCATGATATAATTAAAAGTACTGTGAAAAGTCAAGAAATTGGGGAGATTATCCTAGTTTGCAGCAAAGTTAGTCAAAATTTCTGGACCAATATTTTAAAATTAGTGAGACTGAAAAATAATAGATTTCAACTATATGAATCAGTAAGCAACATAATAATTTAGAACACTACAATTATTTTTCCTTCTGTGTAAGGAGGCATTTGGAGAAAAAGATCTCTAGCAACTCTTTCAATTCAGACATTGAGTGTGCCCTACACTGAAACAAAGAAAAAAGCCAGATGCAAAACCAAGGTCTTTCAGTATTTAAAACAGTAACAAACCCACCCCAGGTCCCATGCACTCAGACCTGGGCCTCCATGTCCAGTGTGCAAGTTGTGTCCTGCACATAGAACACTGGCAAAGGGGGTAAGTGAGGGTTAAATCCAGCCTCCGTGCAGCTCACTGAGCCGGGCACTTCAGCCAGCCCAGAAAAGAGGACGCGTTTGTGTCACTCAGACAAAGGTTCTATATGCTAGCATGGCCCTCCCCGACCTAAATGTCCACAAATAGGGAAATAGAATACTGTGTGTATCCATTCAATCTTGTTCGTGAAGATTCATAGCAACATGAGAGCTCTTCAGTAAATAAAATATAGGAGGCCGAATGGGTTGAATAATGTCACTCAAAAATGCATACTCATCTGGAACCTCAGAA